TGCGGAAGGTGACTGCTTGTCATTTCTGGGAAATTGCTGCTCCAAAGTCATCTTAAATTGGAGGCTCACAACCGGTTGGGTTAATCTCACAGGATGATGGTGCGTCAGATGGTCCTCCCTTGCCCATCCAGAGGCACAAACACAGTTGTCCTTGTTACATCTGGGTTTTGCCCATGTTCTTCCAACAACCCTTCTAGCCACTGGGCTGAGGACCTCTTTTGGCCAGTCTTGCCACAGGCCCACTGATAGCAATGCATCTCTGTCCCAACTAATTCCAAGAGACAAAAGGCCACGTGCACACAGCCCGTATGTGTCCACCCTCAGCACCAAGAGCATTTCCTTGCACAGAGACTGCGCACGTGGATCATGATGTGGCGTGGGCAGGTATTGCAAGGCTCAGAGAAATCCTACAGTGACACAAGCCTTACCTCTGGGCCATGATACTCACCCTTGGTCATGTTCCCTTTCTAACTCTTGCATTTTAAGAGTCCAGAAGCTCAGGGTTAGCTGTGGCAATCAGTAGAACATGGAAATTAAACTTCTTTCACCAGTGTTAACTCTGTTGCAGACTGCATCTAAATCATCTGGAAGAGAAACAGCCCAGTTATTCTTGCTCTGGATGAAAATGAGAGTGAGGGTGGGGGATAAATGGGAGAAGTAAGTCTTTCCTCAGAGGCAGCGGTTGTCAGCTTGCTCTCCCAGATGCTGTGGGCATGCACTGCACTGACACAACCCTTGCCGAGCCAACCTGTATTGATGTTGCATACCTGTTGCTTTAAACCCAATCTGGAACCAGGCTCTGTGTTCTTTGGGTCTGGGTCGCTTACTGTGATAGTTTTGCATAAGAGCAGTGGTTAGGTGCTGGGTGCTCTCCCATGTATAATAAATGAAAGGAAGCATAAGATACCAGCGTAAACAATGTGTACAATTTTGGTATAACCTATTGCCAAGGTATTGCCGTGTTTGCCTGTGCTGTGAAGCACAAAAGCAGCTTCTCAGCTCTGAGAAGTAATCCCTGCACCCAGGATAATCACAAGTCCCTCCTACCTGGACTCTACAGAGCTCCACAGGGATGACCATGATCTGACCCTTTGCATGGATTCAATAATAATAAAGCCACAAGATGAAGAGCAAAAAAGGCTAATATATGGAGAGAGTGAACACAGTGAAAGATCAGTGTGGTTTCCTGTACACACTGTTCCAGATTCAGCATGTGTTAATTCAGAGCACTACACTGGGTTAGCCCTACCATAGCTCAGAGATCATATGTCTTGTCCTGGGAACAGCACAGCCACATCAATGCAGCAATGCAAGCAATTTTTTTGGTAGACTTTGCTGTCAGGTTAATATCCCATCAGATAATACGGGCTGTCTCCAGCTCCAGAGCCTCCTGGGAAATCTTTTCATGGCACAAGCCAGTGCAAGTAGAAACATCTAAGAATACAAGAATGGTCAAGGCTCCATCTAGCCAGCTGCCCTGTTTCCATCAATGGCCACAAACAGACGTAAGAGTGAAGTAAGAACAAGACAAATGTATATTGTAGTTCCCCTGAATACTTCTTCCAGCATTCAACAACTTTCAGCTCAAGGAATTTCTTCTGATGCTGGTCCAGCTAGGCCTCTACATGAGAAAATGTGAATGGGAACAGCACATCTTCAACATCTTATGGAAAGTGTCAACTTGCCATAAGAGTTTCATTTCACCAACACCACAAACAAGGGGTTTCATGGACCAAGCAACAATCTGGACTAACACATTTTGCATGAAACTCACAGAGATTTTCCTTCCAAAGAGGTTGGTTTTCACAGAGGATCCATTGAGAACAGATTTTGTGAAGCAGAAGAGAGTGAGGTAAACTTGGGAGGAGTGGAAAAGGACCAGGCCACTACCAGAATCCATCTGGAATTCTCATATAGACACTTCTGCACTGAAAAGAGAGAAAAGCACAGAGGGAATTTCACACCAACCTGCTATCTTCCCCACACACCCAGGATTTGGCTTATGGAATAATTGCTTCTAGCTGGACACTTCTAGTTGAATACAGTTCTTACTGAAGGATTTCCCGCTTAAGTCTGGCCTTTAATTGGAAAGTTTCACCTCTGTAAACAAGAGTGATCCTCGAGGAAGGGGTGTTTCTGGAAGGGGACGCACAGAGCTGAACACAGGAATTCAAATCCTAAGTTACCTCAGGCAGACAAAATATGTTTTGAAGTGTCCTGCAGCTTGATACAGACTGATGGACTCTTGCTTACTCTTGGCATTTACTCTTGCAAATGAATCACTGTTACTTCCGCCTCCATGCCCACCCCTCCACTTGGTTCCTTTTTAATTTTACAGCTTCCTGAGCTTGACACTGGGAAATCGATAAGTAATTTAGAGCCCAGTAAACACAGATGAAAACAAGTTATTTTGTACTTTTATAAATATTTGGAAACCAAAATTATCTAAGAAAACAGGTGCTCAGTTGACTCAGCAACCCATCCATCAGCATCACACAGTTAATTGCATAAGATCATAAACATTTATAATTAGAAGGCAAACAAACAAGAATTTTATAAACAGCCCTCTTGAATCAGGCTGCGCATTAAATATTTGTGATAAGGTAATTAAGAATAGATTTACAATCCTGGCTCAGTGTTTAATACTTTGGAGAATGGATTTGATTCTATGGAGAATGTTCTACAGCCAAGGAGAAAACATTCGATTTCATCTCTTCTATCCAAGGCTTAAAGTGGTCTCAGAGAAACATTGGCTCTGTCATTGATCAGAGTGGAAATTTATTCATTACAGATCAGACAGCTCATTTAAATATATGTCTAATGTCCCTTGTCATGGGCTGATCCACTTCAGGCCTGCTTCAAAGCTCTGTCTCCTTGGCTGGATCTGCAGGCTTTCCCAAAGTCCTGCTTTTTATGGTTGATGCTTTGATCAGAAGATGTCAGAATTTTCAGCCGTGTTTCAAAGCAGGGAGGAAAAACACATTTTCCTATTATGACATCATGGTGTTTGGTTATGAAAAGCTGGCATCACTACAGGATTACAATCTCAGGGGGTCTATGGGAACCAGAGGGAAGATCTCTCTTGTACTGTAGTGCCCAATGCCATTCCCTGTCCCAAAATAGCCAGATCTGCATACTTAAACTATCCAGTGTAATTACTTCTACAACCAGTAAGCAGGCTCAGCACCCCATTACAGTGACTGTGAGAATCCCTCTGAAGCTCATCTGTGATCAAGTCAGCAGGGCTTCTAGTTATGATTAAAACCAGAGAGGCTAGAAACTCAATCTGTATGGAAGCTAGGGTTTAAGCTCTGTAAAATCAGATGCAGACCCTAAGAAACCAGGTGGATGCAGCCCTTTCATGAATAATGAGGACATCAGCCCTAGGGGTAGTACGACCTTCAAATAGTTTGGTTTTTGATAAAGCACAGGTTTACTCCAGTAATTATCTGGAGTAAAACTTTATCAGAAACTAGAACACCCTGGAAAAGGTGTGTGGAGGGTAAAGCCGTAGCATTTGATTCATCAGGGATAGCCGTAAACCACTTTATTCTGTGGTGACCACTGTCTCTCCATACATCGCTCGTCGAGGCAGCCTCTTCATTTAGGCATGATTTTGCTTCTTATTTATTGTGGGTCTTTTGTTCTTTGCTCTTGATTTATATGCTTGCAACAGGCAGGCACAAGAGCTGCTAGAAATGTTTCTGATAATCTTGATTCTGACCAAGAACGGTGAAGCCATCGTTATGAAGAACAAGGAAGCTATCCGTGTGCTAACTCACCCAGCCCTACTGCTGGTCTGGCTTCAGTTGCATGGGACACAAAGGCACTTTTCTAGCAGACAGATTGCTGCAAAGCAAGGAGACTCAGACCCCCCTCATTCTGCATAAATCCCACTCTCTAGCAAAGCTTGTTAATCATATTACAGTGTGTCAGCTAAGCCAGTTGACATGAGATGTTGCAGCTTCCTCCAGCCTCAGTGGAGAACACCACAGTGTTGCAGTCACTGCTGAACTTGGTGCTTTCAAAGGGTCTAGCCAAAGCCTGGCAGCTTGAATAATAACAGAGCTTAACACCCAAGCACTGTCATCATCTAAACAATTTCTAACATTATTTAAGCCTTCAATCCTCTTGCAAGGGTGGGGAGGATGACAGAGACCGCTGGGAGGTGAGCTAACTGCTGGGTGGAAGGGCCTGAGCTGCCCACTCTCTTTCAAATGCAGAGACCATTACAAGTCAGGCGTCCTACAGCCCAGTGCCACCCCCGGACATCAGCTCGGGTACGTGCAGATGGGTAACAGGACGTACGCGTTACGCGCGCACTTAGCGCACGCACGGTGTGAGCTCATCTGCCCTTTCTTTCAAGCGCGTTGTTTTTCCCCTTAGAAGGGAGCAATGACGTATGATGAGGTACCCGCTCTGCAGATGAGCAAAACTTAGCCTGGGATGACAAACCATTTGCAGGCACAGACAGACCCTTTTTTCGCTCAGTTGCCGCCTCTGGCCTCCATGTGCGTGTCTGCTCTGCTGCTGTGTGTGTGGGGAGAGACTCGGGCTGTGCGCGCACATGACGCTGGAGCAGCAAACGTCACCGGCACGTCAGATCCAGCTACACCCCCTCCAAACACACGCTGGTAGCTCGGTGAATCATGCCTATGCAGCATGCGAAACTAGTCCAGCAACAGATAAACCTCGGGCATCTATTGGTAAACAGATGCTGTTTTGCTCTAAGAGCATAACTCGCTCTGCCGCGTTTACGATCCGTTTATTGATTGCTGAGATAAAGCTGTAATCCTTTTAATTCAAGGGAAAAGGGATCCAGCAGAGCAGGAGCACCGGTGCTCTGCCAGTCGGTAATTAAAATACGTGATTTATCGTTGAATAAACACCGGCTGAGGGAGAGCTGAGCTAACCAGCTAGCTGGGGGCAGGATGCTGGGGTAGGTTTATGGTTCTTTCTAAAGTTTTGTTTCTGTTTATCTCTTTCCCCCTTCCCTCCAGGTCTAATTATACATGAAGGGCCCTCGGTTTACCGGATTTTTAAACGGTGGCAGGCGGTCAATCAGCAGTGGAAAGTGCTGAACTATGACAAAACAAAGGACATGGAGGAACAAAAGACAGGGACGAGGACAAATCAGCGCCCCTCCTCCCAAACCACCCACTCGTCCTCCGCTGGTGGTACAGCCACTAACTCCGCTCCAGCCGACAGCGGGGCACGGGCTGCCGGCCATGCCACAGGCACCCTCTCTGACCACCACTGTGCTTACACCATCCTGCATATACTCAGCCACCTGAGGCCTCACGAACAGAGGAGTCAGTCTAGTAGTAACAGAGAGCTCGTCATGAGGGTCACGACGGTCTGAGCCGGGGAATTCAGGAGGCCTTAACACGAAGCGGAGGAGACAAAGAACTCATAAAGCAGAGGAGCATGGTGTGCCTTTTTCTTTCTCTTTCCTTTTCTTTTTTTCTTTTTTTTTTTTCTTTTTCCCTCCTCTCCTTTTCTTTTTCGGTAACTGCACAAGATATAAGAGGCGGCACCTGGCCAGCTGAGGGAAAAAGCAGGTGGAGGGAGAGCTGCACACTCATGCTAAAGAGGTTAATGTTTTCCAGCCAGTTTTAAAAAAAAAAAAAAAAAAAAAAAACAAGGAAAAAAAAAGAAAAAAAAAAACCACCAACAACACAAATCACAAAAAAACCCAACAAAACAAGTGCAATACAGACTACAAACTGAGTAGGCAGAGTTCTGGGGAAGCAGAGGAACAGACAGTTTAGCATGTCTTACAAATCCTGTTACCTGGAATAGGTAACGCTCTGTACGCACCCCCCGTACACACATGCACGTGCACACAAACACACACGCAGTGTGAGATTTACAAAAACAAGGAAGGGAACAAAATATTTGGAGTATTTTTGTTTTCCAGACTGTGATTAACCAGGGCTATGAGCTGTTCTGTTTCATGAGTCACTCTGGAGCCTTGTTCAATTTACCGTAGGGTACCTGAAGTGAAATGGCTGGGGATTTTTCAGTACTGATTTACAGAGAGAGAGATTGAATCATCCCACCAAGAAAATCTAACAAAGCCCAGGCATACCCAAATTTCACCAAAAATCCTGTTTTTTTCATAATGTACCTGACAAGGGGTTTGTGAGGGTGGAATTGTGGGGGGGGGGTGCTCCATGACCTTTATTCAACGTATAGGCATTTTTGGCAAATTTTGTACAAATGCTCCGCAGGTGTTTCAAGCACAAGTACTGGTGTGATTTATGCCTTCATAACCCCAAATCCAGCATAGAAATCTTGCCACTCACACACATCATTTTCCATGCAGACATCCCAGGTTAATTTCCTTCCATTTTACTCCGATCACAAGAAGCTGAACCATCTCGGTGGGTTTCCGCTTCCTTGCTGATTCGGACAGTCATGCATTAGAGATGTACATCTTCTTTTTTGGTGTCTGTATCCCTGCTGCTCAATTTGCAACAGTCTCACTCAGTCTTGTAGGCTGAGCCTTTCACATCCAGATTGTTAGTTTATTACAGAGTATTCCATTCAATCATTCAAGAGAGAGGTAGTCTGAAGAGGGAGCACAGTTGCTGATGGAATATGTAACACTTCTAATAAGTCTCCTTCTCTGGGATTTATCCTTGAAGGTACCAGTTGCTCTTCAGGAACATTCTCTTTCAATGCACAATGGCTGAATCATTTGTGGATATTAAAGGGACACTGTCAAGTACTTTTTAAATAGTTTTTAGGGTTTGGGCTTTTTTTACTCTCCATTGTTTGTAATATTCTCTTACTCCCTACCGATTTTGTCCTTTTCCATTTGGGCATGTATCGTTCTCTCCACTCATCCCATTCCTTTCACCACTCCCATCCTTCTCCTTCCCACCTTTCTTCTATGATGGGAGGAAGTCCATGTTATTGATTTCCAGCTGACTGTCCTTGCACTATGGAGGGTATATCCCAGCTCTACGGGGTTGAGCTGTTTTGCCAGCACAACTGCCACAAAGAAAGTGTAAGAGCAGGAACCCTAAAAATACAGATATTAGCTAACTGAGGAGCCACAGCTCAGCAATCCCAAAACAATGAGCCCATAGTGATTGAGCCTGAACCCAGCTCCCCCCAAAATTAAGATAGGAACTTCAACCAGACTGCATCCATTTAGCAGCAATGCTAAACAACATTGCACAATGGCTATATCCAACTGCCCTCCATCATCGTACCAGCAGCTCTCACAGCTTCTATTGGATCCAGGGCAAATGCAAGCCACCAGCTCCTTTGGCAGCTAGGCCTTCATGGGTCAGATGTTTCTGGACCAGAGAAGGTGTCAAACTTCAGCCTCCAGGTTTGAACACACCAGCCATTCTGCAATGTTGAAGAAGGAGGTTAGCGTCTTGAGGCAGGTCATGTTTTTCACTTCCGTTACTTGACAGTGTCCCTTTGAATATCAGAATGCAATAGAACAGGTATTTCTCTGGCAGAGAATGTGAGAAGTGAAACGCCGACTAAGAAAGCTGACTTACTAAGGACCCATGTGAAACAGCATGGTTTCTGAGGCCACTGTACCTTTATCTGACCAATCTTACTATCTACCAAAGAGTGCTTTTGGCAGAGGGGAGGGATGTTGGTGGGCGGAGGGAGACAGAAGGGGAAATTCCTATCATCTCTAAAAGCAGCTACCCCCAGAATGAAGGTGTTGCAATGAAAGAACCGCTTCTGATCTGCAGTAGAGAGAAACCTGGCCAAAGCAAGCAAACACAGCAGCCTCTCGCCCTCATGCCTGTCCTGGCAGCTGTCTTCTTTCCAAGAGATGAATAATTATGGTGGTTTTGGGAAGGGGGAAGCATTACACAGATGAAGGGACAGCTGTCAGACATGATGTTGTTTTCCTCCCTGCCCTCCGTTCATTTAATATGGAGAAGTCAAATTCCTTTAATTTGGCTAGCGGCTAAAAGTTTACGAGGTCAGAAGCACAAATTGCCATGAAAGAGTGGTGTGATCTAGTACTCCGAGCACACAGGACTCTGCATACTCTCACTCCAGCTCTGCCACCGACTCTGTAGCCTTGGGCTGTTTGGCTCAGTCCCCCCTCCACGCAAAGGGGGAATAACAATACGTACCTACCTCACAGGGGTGTTGTGAGAATCCACGTTGGTAAAGCCTGTTGAAGTGCTAAGTCTACCACCGGTAGTCACGAAGAGTGTGGTGGGGGTGAGCAGCACTGCCCTTTTGCTGGTTACAGTCCGAATCACTCAGCGGGAGTCCCATTGGCCCTCTCTTGCTTGGAGATCCTCCTTGATCTGAAGCGGAGGGTGTCGTCCGAGTGCCCTCTCCTCCATTGCATGACATTTTAAGCGGCTATGAGGTGCAGGGTAGTGACAGACATGAAGTCCTACTTGACCAGGGATTTGCTACAACGTTTTCTATATCTGTGGGGTTTGTTGGTTTGGTTTTTTCCATATATTGTGCTTAGAAATAAACTTTCCACTTAGGGCTGGCGGTTTGGGGTCTCTTCTGTTGCATGGCAATGTATACAAGTCTTATTGTCTGTCTTACTGTGCAAATGATCCCGCAGCCCAATTTCACAGATGGGTATGGTCTGAGCCTTTTCATAGTGGCATAAGACTCAAAAGCCTGTCTAGACTGTTTAATATTTAAACAACACTATGAACTTGTCAATTGTATGTGTTCTGTGCAATACGAAGCATGTCATTAGCTGGCTTGATGGGCAGAGGGGCTAAAGGAAGGTCAAAACTTGTTCAAAGAGCTTCATACATGTGCCAGCATGGAGCCGAAGGGCTGCCACCAGCAAAGCAAACTCGGGGAAGCCATTGGAAACTGTTTTCAGAACAGTGTACTCCAGAACAAGGTACTTCTGAGTTTTTGAACTTCTAGGCTGCCAGCCTGAGAGAACAAGTGCAAATTTAGTATGGGGGTTGGGGTTTTGGATTCTCTTTTTCCTTCCTCCCCAAAGTATTGATGGCAGAAATACTGATGAGGGTCTCTTCCTTCCATAGCACAGTTCTCTCGTCTCCCACAACCTCCTTGTGCCATCCCCTTTGTGCTACTATGCAGGACTTTAAAAGGTGCAAATGGAAACAGTACGCTCCCGAGACATGCAAAATACGGTGTTTATTGGGGGATTCTAGCAGACAGAAGAGATGGGGCAGGGCTATGCTACAGAAGGCATCTCTTTTTCCCCATATCTTTCCTCTAGTCTCGTCTGCTGCATTCCTAAAGAGATGTTCTCTGTATTTTGTTACAAAGCAGTCAGATCAGCTTCCACCGACAAACAAAGCTTGCAGAGTTTGGCAGCTGTTTCTCCCAGTGGAGAAAATTCCAGGTCCTATCACTGTGGAGACCCCTCAGTTCTTGGGCTTTGTCGCCCTCCAACACCGTTTGGGGGTGGTCAGTGTGGAGGACTCTGTTCAGCCATCATCAGAAATCATGTGCGTGTGGTCCTGCTCATTCTTTTGATTTCCGCTAGTCCCTTGATTTTTCATCAGTTTTGACAGGTCTTTCTAGTAATGCTCTTCTGGTTATGCTTTTCAGAGGTGTTTTGCTCTGTGTCAGTTGCCAATTCTATTCTTGCCTACTGAAACATCAGTGCTGGCCTCCAGCTTCCACAGCTCTTCCATTCTTGCCATCCAGTCTCTTGGTAAATACCCACTGCCAAGTTCAGACCCTCCTCCTCTGTGCCTGCAATGGCTCAAGCACATGCACTTAACCCAAGGGACATCAGAGAACACAGGGACCATTAAGAGTCTGTGCCAATAGTCAGACTCCGTAACCATGTCAGTCCTCTGATATATATTCACCTTGCCAATCTCAGTGCCTGCTGTTAATTGGTTGCCACAAAAAAACCCCCATAATGCTAGCAAAACCCATATACCCAGCTAACAGTTGGTTTCCAGTTTCAAATATCAGAAGTGATGGACTGTTTTTCAAGTAAATCAGGTGTGTTCCCTGTTGTGGTTTCCCAAGCAAGGTGCTGAAGATGTCCATGTCTTACCTTACCGTGATGGGCAACCCAAGGAAAGAGCAAATCAGCAACATAGATTTGAGTCAAGAGAAGCGTTGGCTGTCCACTACCCTTTAACTTAGGGAGGCAGAAAAATACTACTACTCGTGTCTGCCAGGTCCCTGACCCTTCTCAAAGTCCTTGTATCTGGCAGCAGTAAAACATCAGAGCCAATGCCTGTAGATGGAAGACAATTCTGAAGACTTTCTAGCTCTGGAGACAATCTCCTGCCCACATGTGATGGTCAGTCATTCAAGCATCTTCTCTTTGTTTTCCTCAAAAGAAAAAAGATTGACTAAGTAAAGTACTGCTACTCTTCAGTGTAGGAAGAGGCTGAACCATTAACACTTCCAACCTGTGGTTCATCCACCAGGACTCCTGCCCATCTGCTTGTGAGAACGCATGGCCAGAAGACCTATTCCTTCCTCTTACTCTTATATGTCGGTCAAGCACTTCAAGGAAAATAGTCAGCAGTGCAATTGCCTTAGTGACTACTGGCTGAGTATCTTGTCCTCCCCTGCATTATTCACCTCACCTGTGACTGCTCCTTCTCATTCCTAAGCCAACAGATGCCTCATCCCCTGTGCCGTCCCT